ATAAGGACAGAATTAAATTATCTAACATGATGTACAGTTAATATGAAATAATTTTACAGGTCATTACCAGATAATTTTTATTACTTAGACAAGTCAAATCTTGGAATGGAAAGAATTTGTACTTTCTTTTCCCCGTGACTGCTCATAAAAAAATCCCCAGCATTTACTTGTTTTGTGCAGGTTTTTTTTGTTGTTGTTTGTTTTGTTTTTTAGGTCTGAAGTCAGGAAAATGAAACTCCAACCCTGCTTTTGCTTTCATTTGCTTTCAAAAACCATCTGTTTCCTGCTCTGTGGAAGACAAACAGAGAAGTGGGTGAATCTAGTCTCACATTCTCTCTCTGGTGAGTAAGCACCAATTTATGTTTCTAGCAATCTTTATTAACTGACTGTTTGGAGGAATGGGGATGTCTGAAAGTTGAGCTGGAGCATTTCTTGGACAGATTCAAAGCAGCACTTTCAGGTCAGATCCTGGAATGAGGGAAGATGGAGGAAATGAGGTGTGCTGATGACTTGTGTTCCCTCACTAATCTGATTTGTTCAGTGTGGTTGACTCTCGAGCCGGTGTGGGAAAATATTTCTGGAAGACCTGAGGGAGCCATCACAAAAATGACCTTGTGTGCAGCATGACACACACTGTGCTCCTCAGGTTTCCCAGTCAGCCTCACCGCTCTGATACTTTAGCCTCGGGGTCATTGCTGCTCCGTCATGCCCAGAGCTCCAACTACTTACAATACATTTCCTTTGACAGAGGTGAGTTAATGTAGCTTGGAAGGGATGATACTTATTTTTTTTATTTCAATTGGAAAAATGCAAAAATTATCAGGTTTTGTATCATATTGTGTGTGTGTTTTTTAAATATCTAATTCAGTGAAACACTCAGTTGTTCATTTAGCTCATTTGTCTCTCTACAAACCTAAATCAGGCTTGTATTTGTTAGGTTTCTGTTTCCTCTCTGAGTGTCATCACACACAGCAGAGAGAGGAGGTCCAAATTGTGGAGTTCTGCTCTCCAGATGATGCCTCACATGGCTCTGTGCAAATACGGTAGGTTTTACAGTTGCATATTGTCACCTTCCTAAAATAACGTCCTAAGTCATTCTTTGCCAAAAGTGTTTTTTTTTGTTTGTTGTTGTTTTTTTGCCATAAGATTTTTTTTGGAAAGACAGAGTTGGTGATTTTTTTTTCTAAAATTACTTTTCACGAAAAAATGACATAGGCCATTATTTCAGGAAGGTGACAATATATAAGCTACAATCAGACATCATACAATTTGTCGCAACTACAGTTATAATAGTTTTGGGTTTTTAGTTATAGATTAGTTTTATTTTGTTGTGAATTTTTGTTTGTCTAATTCAGTTAGTTCAAATTAGTTTTTAGAGTGAATTTACTGATTTGTAGTTATCAGCTAAATATTGTTTAGTTTTAGTTTAGTTTTTATATTTTTAGTTTTTCATAATTTGGTTAATTGTTGGTTGCAGAAATAAAGAAGTCAAAGAATTATATTGTAATTATGAATAGATCAATTGGAATACTTAACAGAAGAAATCATTTTCAGTAACTGTATTGAAATATTATTGAACAACGAGTGTCTAGTGTTTTCTACAAACCTTTACTGTTATTTTACAGACTGCTGCCAGCAGGACTATGTAATTTATTGGCAGCTAAAATAAACTGCTTGTATGAGGGAAATTAAATTAAGCCATTCGAAAGGCTAGTAAATTAATTCATAAGCACAAACATGAAGGACATTATATAATTAGGCCCAAGCACCGAAGCGCTGGCGAAGGCCTATTGTAATTTCTGTTTGTTTTAGTTAGGTTTATAAATGCACAACATAGTTCCAGTTATATTTTTTTCCTCATTAATTAACTTTTTTATATATTTTAATTAATGAAAATGTTAGGGTTAGGATTAGGGTTTCAGTTTTTGTTAGTTTTAATGTGACCTTGGCGACAACTCATTACTTTGTACTCCTTTAAATGAAGGAAAACAGAGGGAAGGGGGTTTAAGTTGTTTATGTCTCTGTTTCTCAGCTCCGCTGGTTCTAGTGGGAGTTGTGGTTTTGGCAGCCAGCGGGATCATAGGAGACCCTCTCTATGAGTGTCTCCAGGACGCTGACTACAGAGAGCTCCTGGACATTGTGACGAACGGACTCCCGGCTGCCAGGATGCCTCGACATGTGGCAGTCATCGGTGGGGGCATGGCTGGACTGACCGCTGCCAGGGTGTTAGAAGATGCAGGACATAAGGTTGGATGGGTGGGGAAAGACAGTGGTGGAGCTAGACTTTTAAAGTTGGGGGGTTAAGAGGGAGAGCACGGGCTATATATATATATATATATATATATATATATATATATATATATA